TTCTCAACCTGTGGGTCGCGACCCCTTCGGCGGTCGAACGACCCTTTCACAGGGGTCGCCTCAGACCATCCTGCATATCAGATATTTACATGACGATTCATAACAGTAGCAACATTACAGTTATGAAGTAGCAACAACAATAATTTTATGGTTGGGTCACAACATGAGGAACTGTATTTAAAGGGCCAGAAGGTTGAGAACCACTGCTCTAAGCAAACCCAGGCGTGTGTGAGTACATGTGCCAGGCACTGTGCCGGGGCCTGCACATCCTAGAGCTTGCTTCATGCTGATGTGGCTGTGTGGGCCTGGGGAGGGGAGGTGTTTTGATGGCAGTGCCCACGCTGCCATACCCTCTCTCCTTGTGGGTGTGTCTGGAACTGGACGGAGGAGAAGCGAGCTGCAGTGGCAAATGCAGGTTCCAATCCCGGCTCTGCCGTTTACAAGCCCCAGGACCTTGAATAAGCCCTTTTGCCTCTTTGAACTCTGTTTCCTTCCACCAGGCAGAGTCTAACTCGGTGGGTTAAGAGGATTAAATGAAGTGATGGATGTGGAACTGTCTGGCCTATGGTTGACAATTAATAAATGCTGAATGAATGCGTAGGGAGATGGAGTGGGCCAGGCACAGAGCTCTGTTCCTCTGCTGGCTCTCTCCCTGCATCCCCAGGAGGGGCCTCTCCTAGCTCATGACTATCTGGGGGACATTAGCAAGGGATCCAGGAGGCCCAGTCTATTTTCTTTCGGAGGGAAACCCTTTCCCTGTGTCACTCCCACTATGTCTACCCCAGCAGAACTCACATCCATTCAACCACGAGAGCTCTGGGCAGCCCTGTCTGGGGTTACGGCCTGTGCTGAGCCATGAGAATAGCCGAGAAGCAGTCCCGCCCTCCTGACGCTCTTGGGCTGATGGGCAGGCAGATATGGAATCGCTCTGTTGGTGGGGGAGGTGGGAGGAGGAATGGGTGCCAAGGCGGGGTCTAGAATATGGAGTATTTGAATCCAATACAGCTTGATGCTTGAATGGAATCTTGAAGGAAGAGGCAGAAATACCCAGGGAGGGAGGTGGCAGTCAGGGAAGGCTTCCCAGAGGAGGCAGCTACTGCACTGAGCCTTGAAGAATGAAAGCCGTGTTCCAGGCAGGCTTTCTAGGGTGGGGAGGCAGCATGGCGTGGCTTTTGTTCATTTGCTGACTGTTCCATCGAGACCGGCCAAGGGACCTGGACGCAGGTTGGACAGGCAGCTTCCAGAATTATTCATGGGGGACTCAGAGCCCAGAGACCACTCCCATCTCCCCCCACCCCCTTGCACATATGCTCTGGCTTCCCTCACCGCTCAACCCGCCCTTCCGTCTCCTGGGTCCTGCGTGTGTCTCCCCGCCCCGCCCCGGCCTGCTCGGCAGCCTCCTCGAAAGATCGCGTCCTCCAGAGAATGTTTTCTTGCCCTGCCTGTCCCTTTCTGCAAAGTTCAGCACTTTGCAGAGCCCAAGCTTGCCCTCCGCTCAAAGGTGAACGTTCCTGGAAGCCCCAGCCTGTTTTCCACTTCAAACAAAAGGCTGGAGCTCGCACCTCCGTCTCCGCGCACAGCCAGCCGCGCGGCTTCCAACTTGGCCCGGCATCCGTCCGTAACGAGGAGTGGGCCCGGCCCGCACTTGGAGATGTTCGCTGGAAACTCCGGGCTGCTAATTCAGGCTTCCAGCTCTGTGTTTCCCACTCTCCCACTGCGAGCACCTCGGCTGCCTCGGGTGGAGGCTCGGAGCCTGCCGCCCACCACCTTCTGTCCAGACCAGGCCCCGGGAGGGCAGCCAGACCAGCGAACCACCTGGTCTCCAGCCATAATGTAGCCCCTACTGTGCGCCACGCTCAGATGAGCACCGTTCCTCACTTTCCTATGACACAGGGGTCCCCGTCCCTGTTCGGTGAGGCCAGGAATCCGAGGTTTGGAGCGGAATGAACGAACCTGAGGTTGCACAAGGAAGCCTTAGAGTTGACTCAGCTCCTGAGTCCGAAGTGCTGCTCGCCCCGCACGGTCTCCCAGGGAGGCCACGCGTCTGCTCGGGAGCCGGACGTCTCCGAAGCCAGGCTACAGGCTCCGGAGTCTGGCCACGCTAAAGCTCTAATTCTGGGAGGCTGTTTACAGCAAACATGGAAATGCAGCACACGCCACATTAAAATGTAACTGATCTTTAACGATAACAGTGGCGTCGAGCGGCGGTCGAGTAGCTGACTTCCTGTCAGGTTTCGGGCACACCTGCCGGGACTCCCGCCTCTTGCAGGTGGTTCGGAGGACATGGGATAAACTGGCCCACGTCGCCGTGGTAACTGGAGCGTCAGGGGCAGCCTGGTGCAGAAGCTGAAGGGTGTGGCCAGGGCTTGGTTGCTCTCATTCTCTTCCTCTGGACTTGGCTTCCTCCATGCTGGCTTTGCTGTCCCATAGGGTTTCCCCTCGTGGTGACCGAATGGTTGCCTTCGCTTCAGCCTTACATGTTCCCCGAGTTTACGGCAGCCTGTGTTTTTAGCCATGGCTCGTGCAGGGGTCTCGAGGAACACTGATTGGATGGCCCTGCCCCTGCACCAGTCCCAGGACATCATGTTTTGATGGGCTGCGTCTGGGTTTCTTGTTCTGATCGAGTGGAGGTGGGGGCTCCTGGCTGCAGGGTAGAGAGTGGGGGAGGGATGGGCTTCCGGATGATCACGGGAGCCTGTTGCGTAATTGTAACAGGGGCCAATACAACACCTTCGCTTCACACATCCAGGGCGTGACGTTGCTGAGGCCAAAGCTTGGGGGAGGCCCTCTCTCCTGTGCTGCCCGGCGCACCCGCCCTGCCGTTCTCACCTCCCCTCCTCCTCTCTCCCCCCGCAGCCCGACGGCACCAGTAAGGAGTGCGTGTTCATCGAGAAGGTCCTGGAGAACAACTACACGGCCCTGATGTCGGCCAAGTACTCCGGCTGGTACGTGGGCTTCACCAAGAAGGGGCGGCCGCGGAAGGGCCCCAAGACCCGGGAGAACCAGCAGGACGTGCACTTCATGAAGCGCTACCCCAAGGGGCAGGCGGAGCTGCAGAAGCCCTTCAAGTACACCACGGTGACCAAGCGGTCCCGGCGCATCCGCCCCACGCACCCCGGCTAGAGGCACAGAGAACTAACTGCACCAGAGGAATATTTTTACATGAAAAAGAAGGAAGAAGCTCTATTTTTGTACATTGTGTTTCAAAGAAGACAAAAACTGAACCAAAACAATTG